ATTCTATTAGTAAATATAGTTTTTATTTTTTCCATTCCAATTTGTGCCTCCCTCCTCCCACCCCCAGCTACCCTATTTTACTGGCTAAAACCATCCTATGGTCTTGATTAGAAATAGTAAAAGCAGACACCCTTGCCTTCTTTTTCATCTAAGAGGAAGAACACTCAATATTTTCCCCCCTTAGACAGATGGTAATTTGACATTTTTTTTGTATATGCTTACTTAAAAGTTAAGAATGGTCCCTTTTATTCTGAGTTTGATGAGTTATTTTAGTTTTAACTCCACAAGTTGAATATTATCTAAGAATTTTTCTGCATCTGTTGAAATGATCATAAGCTTTTCTTTTGTGATCTAATAATAAAATGAATTATATTGTGTCATTTTAGAATGTTAAAGGAATCTTCCATTCTTGGGGTCAGCACCTGACCCCAAGAATGCAAGATTATTATGCATGAAGTATTACCAATTTAAATATTGCTAGATTTCTCTTGATAAAGTTTGGTTATGAAATTTTGAATGTGTATTCATGAGGATATTTGCCTGGTGTTTTCCTTGATCTTGGTATCAGGACCTTCGACAGTAAATTGGGAAATATTCCTCCTCTTCTATATTTTGGGAGATTCTGTTTACAGTTAGTACTATTTCTTTCTATAAATATTTGTTACAATTCACCATAAGGGCATCCCATAAGGGATCTAGAGTTTTCTTCAAGAGGTTTCTAAATACAAATTCATTTTTATATGCCCACTCAAGTGTTGCAAACTATACAATTTTAAATGTTTTCAATATCAAATATTGGCAAGAATTGGGAGAGCAAAAGGAATCTTTCTATACTGTTGGTGGGAATAGAATTTTACAGAACCTTTGGAAAGCAGTTAAGCAGTTTCTTATAAAGTTAAACATTTATTTACTACACAATACAGCAATTCTACTCTCAGGGATTTACCCAGATAAGTGGTCATGTACGCCCTCACAAAGATTTTAGTTCATATGTGTGCACGGCAGGATGAATCACTGCTTCAGCATCACTATGCTGAGGGAAAGATACTAGACACAAATGACAAGTTTATTATGATTCCATTTATATAAGTTCTATTTATATGTAAGATTCCATTTATATGAAAGGAAAAAACCACAGTCATTCAGAATTAGTCTGTGGTTGCCAAGAGCCCTGGAGTGGGAGGAGATCTATGGCAAAAAGACTTTAGTGCACTTTTTGTTGTAATAGAAATGTTCTGTATTATGATTGTGGTGGTGGTTAGTACTACTACATTTAACTTTGTTAAAAATTATCCATTTGGGGCCTGGGGTTGTGTCTCAGTGGTAGAATGCTTGCCTAACCTGTGTGAGGCACTAGGTTTGATTCTCAGCACCATAAGTAAATAAATAAATAAAGGTCCATCAACAACTAAAAAAAATTTTTTTAAATCCATTTGTATTCAAAATTGGTGAATTACATTATATGTAAGTTATACCTCTGTGAAACTTATTTTAAAAAAACAAAAATTAAAAACTAACAGTAGAATCATACAAAACGAAGCTTATAAAATAATCTAAACATAAGAATACATATTTAATATTTATTAGAGTGTTGTTTGTGGTATCAAAACTACAAGAAACATGTATGCCTGTCTATGGGACAATAGTGAATAAATTACTGTACATTCCAACAATAAAAATATTATGCTGGCAACTAAAAAAGAATGAAGTAGAAATATATCACTTGACTTGGAGCAATTTCTTCACGTAATGGTTGCAAAATTTAAAACACTTGTTAATATGCTTTCCTAGAAAAACACAGGTGTTGAGAGCCATCTGTGGGCTGTGTGTGGACTACATTGAGCATCGAAGCCCAATGAATAGGAGAATCTGGTGTCTGGGAACTTCCAGTGGACATTTCCTCTAGTTGACTATCCAGTCACATTGTGAGCCCTATTTAGCTCCGCCCCAGGTCCCATACAGCATTGGGGATGGGAAGTTGGAGATGGGATGACCTGCTATAGCTGTGCAGCCATTCTGGGATGGGTGTGACCTGCCAAGTGCCAATCAACCTGCTGACTGGAAGACATCAGGAAGCAAGGCTTCACCCCTGTAACCTTATCCCTGCCTTTGTCGGACCCCCTTAAATAAACCACTGGAGCCATTTTCTAATTGTCTAGCTCCAGCTCTTATGTGGACTGGGCCTATCAGAGGCTCCACCTTTTTGAAACCATCTTTCCAACTTTGTCTTTTTTTCTTCACTAATTATTCTAGACTTTAATTTCTTAGGTGGTTAACACCCTCATTGGCAGGAAGAACCCCCTAGTGAGGGGCTGATCACCTCTTCATACACAGGCACAGCAAACTCTATATATTTGCATAAATAAATGCACATATATCCACATACATCTATATGTGATTGTATATGATTGAAAGAATTTGATGATATACATTGAAATATTTATTGTACTAGATTGTTAATATGAGTTACTATGATGGGATGATGTGAATAAAGTATATGAGGAGAGAAAGAAAGTGTTGGAAAGCCATAATGAAATAAAAAATAGAAGACCTTGCCATTTATATAATTTCCTTTAACATTTAGTTAAATGTGCAAATGTACATATGTATATATTATGTCACAAAATAGTTAAAAATTATAAAAGCACAACACTATGATTACTATCCTTGGACAGAACACTATATTTCAACTATTCCCCAGATCTTGAAGACCTCCTCCCTTGTGGTCCTAAGTTGGCAGCAGATGTGTGTGACTTCATATTTCTCTGAAAAGCTCTGAGATGTCCATCTGTTCTGGATAGAGCTGGATAGTGACTTCTCTGACCCCCCAATTCATTCTTCCAGAACTTCTCTTTCCTGGCTCATCCCCCAATTATAAGACCTAACTGCTGTTCTGCATCACTTATCCCATGACATTCATTGTGGCTTTGCTTCTCTGAATAGTCATAGATGCACGTACAATAATGAATTCAAAACGTGTTGCAAGCCATAGACTCAATAATCTGTATTATTTGGGAATCGTATCAGCCCTATACAATAAATTTTCACATGTACATGAAAAACCTTGAAGTTTATTCTTATCATTGAGGCTAGAATTTGGAGACAAGTTTGTCTTACTTGAAATTTGCAATGTTATCTATAAAGTGGTCAATAATAGTAATTCTTCCCAGTATGCTCATAACCTCATGTGGTCATAGATGATACAATAAAGGTGTATTTTCTCCATTCCATATGAGAAGATGCTTCTTTCTCATTACAGAACATAATTAGAAGTATTTTTCTTTTTAGTTTGATTCTGGCACAATAATGAATTAAAATTACCCGTACATTTCCATGAAATAGTCACCTATTATGCTTTCTTCCTTAATTTCAAGAATATAATATTTTCTTTTGTTCCAAGCTATAGAAATTGACTCTGACTTACTTACACAAAATTGAGAAAATAATTTAAGAAAAGAAAGAAAGATAATATAATGGGAGGGAGATAAGATATACTACAGCAGACACAGCAAACTATTTCAATATCAGTTTGGATTTTTATCCCATCAAGATAATCTAATCTTGGTGTTCATCAGGCAAAATGAATATTTTTGCAATGGACAGTTGGCAACTAACAGGCTAAGGGTAACGTAGAGCAAAGAGGTGATTAAGAACCCAGATTCTCAATTTAGAATTCGTGGCTTAAAATCCTGGCTTTGAGCTTTATTTTCTTTGTGATCTTGGGCAGATTTTACATCTCGACATCTCTATTTCTCCATCTGGACATCTCTATTTCTCCATCTGAAATATAATACTTTTTAAGTTTGTTGAAATCAGAAATAGGATTATGTATGAACCATTTAGCTGAATTCTTGGCATAAGCATCTTTAAAATGCTTAATTATGGATAAGAAAATGACCACTTCTGATCTCAGTACAGAGATTCATGGACAGTCTCATTAGGGCCCTGTCTTCAGATTGTCTTACTTCCAACCACCTTCTCCTTTTGTTTGTCACTGGTCAATATATAAATTCCCTGAAGGAAAAAACATTGGTTTTTTTTTTTCTAGTTTGGGTTATGATAACTTTTGTATTATTGCATAGGTGATCTACTGCTAAAATAATTCAAAAACTAATTCAAAAATAAGTAACTTCAACTAGTAAACATTTATTATTATTCATGAATCTATAGATTGGTTAGTTCTCATCTTGGACGAGTTTGCTCATGTTACTACAATCCTCTATGGGTAGAGTAGGCAGCATTACTAACCCTCACTGGACTCTCACATGTTGGGGTTCAAGTGAGTATATATTGGTCTCTCATCTTCTTCTAGGCTAGCTTCAACTTGTTCTCATGACAGAGGCAGGAGCCTAAGACAGAGAGGAAATGTACAAGACCATCTAAGGCTCAAAGCTAGCATTCTTGGGCCCTGGCAAATCATAAGGTCATCCCAGATTTAAGGGGCAAGAAAATAGACCTCTTCATAGGAAGAGCTGAAAAGTCACATTGCAAAGGGTTTGGATACAGAGGAAGATAAAGAATTTGAGCCACTTTTGTAATTAATTTACCATACTCCTGGGCCAGTCACAGCATGCGGGGATTGTAATAGAATTAGCAGCCCACCCAGGTTCCATGATCAGTCCCATTGTAGTAGAGGGCAGGACACTTTGACTGTCGGTGCTAATAATGCATATGTAATGCATAGTGGAATTTTGCCAAAAGGAGAGTTGGTCCTGTTATTAAGAGAAAGTAGAAAGCGTTCAGGGCAGCAAACACAAATGTCCACTACAATGTAAATAATAAATCAACACATTTTAAAGTAATTTCACGAGAAAGAGTCAGCGGAGTCAATGCTTCGTCTCTGCACAGGATTAATCTTAAAGCAACCAAGGAAAATGGCATTGTTGAGAAAAAGGCCCTGTTTTCACACAGCATCAGGCTTTGATGGCATGTGGGTTCAATCTCTCTATATCTTAACTTCAGTTTTCTCAAGTTTCTTCTTTACCCGTGTCTAAGACCAACTACTTACAATGCTGGCAATATTTTCCAAACAATTTTCTTATAGCTGTCTTCACCTCCTTGTTTTTCAGGCTGTAGATGAGGGGATTCAGCATGGGAGTAATTATGCTGTACTGCAAAGAAAAGATTGACTCCAAGGGAGAACCTGAGGCTGGTATGGAATAGCGTAAGCATGCTGAGCCAAAATACAAGAGCACTACAGTGAGATGAGAGGAGCAGGTGGAGAAGGCCTTGCTTCTGCCTGTGGTGGAGCTGATGCTCAGGATGGTGGAGACAATGTAGCCATAGGAGGATAAAATCAGGAGAAAGGTCACAAAGGCAATTATGAGAGAAGAACAGAGCATGACAATGATATTGGTCTGGACATTAGAGCAGGAGAGATGGAAAAGAATAGGGAGCTCACACATATAGTGGTGGATGGTTCTATACTCACAGAAGTCCAAATTCACAGCTATAAGGATATTAATGAGTGCATTCAGGAAGGCCAGGCTCCACGACCCCCATGCAAGCCCCTCACAGAGCTGCTTGCTCATTATCTGTCCATACAGCAGAGGGTGGCAAATGGCAGCATATCGGTCATAGGCCATGACTGCAAGCAGGCAGGCTTCAGTGGCCCCGTTGGCAAACACAAAGAAGGCCTGGGCCAGGCAACCCTCCACAGAGATCGTTTTTGTCTTAGACATGAGGTTTTCCAGCATCTTAGGCACAGAGACTGATGAATACCAAAGATCCAGGAAAGAAAGGTGACCCAGGAAGAAGTACATGGGTGAATGGAGGTGAGCATCAGCCATTATCACCAACAGCATCATGAAGTTCCCCGCCAGGGTCAGGAGGTAAATCACAAGGAACAGCACAAAGAGTAAAATTTGGATCTGGGCATCAGCAGACAGCCCAAGGAGGATGAAATCAGTGAGAGCACTGAAATTTTGCATGGCTAATGTAAGGATCTTTCCCCTGGAGTGGATGAAAGAAAAATGATAAAACTCCCTCTTCTGTTCCCAACTTATTCAATGCATTACTTCTCTTCTTGAAATATATTACTTCTTGATGATCATGGAATCCAAATTTCATTGACTGTTGACAGAGACACCACAACAACTTTGATAAATGCCACATGTCTGTCATTAGACCAGCCCACTGCCTGCATTGATCATTCCTCCCCCTACGACCCAGGCTGTCAAGTTTTTCTTCTGTTTTATTTTGGTCTTATGTTCTTCTGAGGAGAGTTGAAGATACGAATGACATGGATAGTGAGAAAATGGTGGATTCGAGAGACTAGAATTCTTAATTCATTTGAAGAGCCACTGGAATGGGCATAGTTGACTAAACAAGGAGAAAGGATAAGAATAGAGATAGAGACTTTGAAAAAGTATTTTGGTGGTGATGGTATAAATATTGACTGTGAGTGTGATGGAAGCAAGTTTCTCAGGAAGGAAGTAGGGCAATGGACTGGCCTATCAAGAGTTAATTTATTCCCCTCCCTACCATCCACGCCATAAGGACGAGTTAGTTTTCAAATATTTTCCAAAATGTCAAAATAATAAACAAAGGAATATTTACAAGCAAGTAGGTAGAAACAATGGGCTGTAATATGGTTTCAGTTTTACAGTTAAACTGGACTTACCTATCATCACCCAGAGTTTGATCATTTTATCTTGCTCTGACACCCAGGTGTCTACCTCTTACCAGGATAACTGTTGAATATTGTTGGCTTAGTTTTCAGGCTCATCCTATGCTCCTTTGATAAAAGTGGAGAAATTGTATCAGATTAGAGTTGGTTAAATCCCATTTTCCCTGGATCACAAACAGTTTCTCTGGATTCTGTACCCGCAAAGTGAATACTGTACCTGGGAATACATGGATGTTAAGAAAGCATTTGAAGAGTGTATTTTCCAAATGATTGTTTTACTTTCACTCATGAATAGTGATTTGTACACAATATCCACAAGGTTTCCTAATTCTCATCTTGAGACACATCCTTCATCTCCTGAAGATAAAAGAACAGAGCTTGGGAGGAAATAACATTGATGAATAATTTCTTCCAAGCAAAGGAACCATGTTGCCTATGGGTCATAAAGAAAACTGAATAATATGATTTCAGAGACAGCAAAAATAATAATAATAATAATAATGTGTTTCTCATATTTCCCAACCTCTAAAGATACCAGAGATTACTTGACTTGTGGAAATATTTCCACCTTAGAAATTAAATTGAAAAGATTCTTCATGTGATGATTTCATGCAAGATATACCAGGATGCTTAAGGCCATTGGAAAAGGTCTGTATTTCAGAGTCGAAACAGAGGTTTTCTCTGTTAAAAGGGTCCCAGCAAAGAAAATAATACCTCTAAAATAAAATATCTTCTCTTTCTTCTAATGTCTGAAATCACACTAGTATTAGACATTCATTTTTTCAGACTATACAAATAGAATACAAAATGAGAAAAACTCTAGGAAGTAAAACTGAGTGTAATAGAAGAACAATTATATGTAGTGGGTTTTTTGGAAAATGTCCAAGGGATTGCTTAGAACAACTCATCACAGAATGAGATAAAAAATATCTAAATATCTACCTGACTTATATAAGATGTTCTAAAAATTTGATTTGAAAACATAAATAAATGAATTGATGAAAGGAAGGTCCAGGATTTCACTACTCTTGGTAGAAATACCAGCTGGGCTATTCTGAGTGATGTTTTGACTGTCTTCCTGTGTGATATCTCTGGAATCATGATAAATCACCTGCTTTGGGATGAAGCATAAAGAAGCTAGAGGTAGAACAGTGCTGTGGATGATTTCATTGGAGAATTTTTCCTGTCCCTCTCTGTACACAACATGCTTCACTAGTGGACAGAGATGGGAGACGGTCATACAGCAGAAACCATCTGGAACCCATAGAAAAGGGGAAACCCATAGAAATAGAGCCAATAGATATGGGGTTTGAATTAGGCAATTTAGAATAATTGAGTGGTTAAAATTTGTTCTTCATGCCATCACTTCTTCCCATCACAGCCTGCATACTTCTCAGAGGTAGTTTTCTGACTCCCTGCAGCACTTCAGGAAATGCTTATACTCTGCTCTGGGGATGAGGTGAGAGAATCCAGCATTAGGAAATGAAAATAGACTTGGAAAAAGATGTAAAGTCCTATTTATACTATTTATTTGCTGTGTGCACTTTATAAAGCTTTTAACTACTCCTTATTTTTTTTTCATTTTCCCTCAAATTTACACTGGGGATAACAATGTTGTTTGCAAAACTGTGAGAATTTAGTTAGATCATTTATGAACGATGCGCAGCACTGATTCAGTGTACCAAGTCTTGTATTTTTAACTTGTCCACCACTCTAAATTTAATTGCTCAGTATCAAAGCAATTAAAACAAGGAGCAGAGAAATAAGATGCAGGTAAGGAGTCAAGGTAGGCATGATGGTTTGCTCTGTGAGTAAAACAAATTAAGTGATTTGAGGACTAAACAGAAAGACCATAGCAAGCAACTGAAATGTGCAGAGAGAGGGAAGAAATAAAAGCAAGCAATTCAGGTAGAGAGCCGGGAAAATTCAGGGATGGTACCTCTGTCTTATGCAGGTGAAGATAGGAGCCAGGTTCTCTGCCTTGATGGGTAAGCATGTCTGACATCAGGAAACCTTTTCACAGTTGTCCAAATCCAGGAGCAGACAATCCTTTTTCCTTTTCTTTCTGGGAGAATTTGTGAAAAATTGAAAGAACCCTATGAACTGAAGTTCTGAGAAACCCCTCAGTCAAAATTCTCAGAACTGAACTCAGACTTACTCATGCCCTCTGAAAAGAGCCAATATAAATCCAGGAGTTACAAGTCTCTGTTATCTCTTTGAGAAATTTGTCTCATTCCCAGTCACACACTTACTTTCTTTTCCCCACATAGATTCCATATCATTCTAAGTACAGAGAATATCATTAAAACAGAATTCCTAGGTTCAACCAACCAGAGGAGCTGGTAGATTTAAGTAGCCATGGGATGGGCAGCTGAGTGGATCCCGGGAGATAGTTGGGTTGGTGCCTTGTACTCCTTGGAGGCATAACCTGAGGCCAAGCTTTCAACTCATTAACTTGGTTTATTTTTAATTGACACCTAATAAATTTACAAGTTTATTAGGCATAGTATGATATTTTGATACATGTATGTGTTAGTCAGCTTTTTGTCTCTGTGACCTAAAAACCTGACAGGAACAACTTAGAGGAGAACAGTTTATGTTGGGCTCACAGTTGCAGAGGTTCATTTGGCCAATTCCATTGCACTGGGCCTGAGGTGAGGTAGAATATCATGGTGGAAGGGTGTGGCAGAGGAAAGCTGCTCAGCTATGGCAACCAGGAAGTAGAGATGGAGGTGGGGGATAAGGTCATGGACAGATATAGTTCAGGCCATGCCCCCAGTGACCTACTTCCTCCATCCATGCCCCACCTACCTACAGTTACCACCTAATACTCCACTCAAATTATTAATTTATTAGTGGATTGATCCATTGGTGTGGTTACAGCTCTCATAATCTAATCAGTTCACCTTGAACATTTCTACTTTGGCTAACACATAAATTTTTTTGGAGGGGACTTAAAGATCCAAACCATAATAGTGCATAATGACCAAATCAGAATAATTAGCATATCTATCACCTCAAACATTTATTATTTCTTTGAGATGAGAACATTTAAATTCTCTGTTCAAGTAAGTTGAAAAAATGCAATTCATTATTGTTAACTATAGTTACTCTACTGTGCAATAGAACACATAACTATTCCTCATTACTGTATCTATTGACCAGCCTTCCTCCCCACCACATGGCCTCTGGTAACCACAATTCTACTCATTACTTCTATGAGATTAGCTTTTTTTTTTTTTTTTTAGATTCTACCTTTCAATGAGATCAGGCAGTACTTGTTCTTTGATGCCTGGCTTTTTTCACTTAACATAATGCCATCAGGTTCATCAATATTATCATAAAAGAAAGGATTGTATTTTTTATGGCTGAGTCATATTCAATTGTAAATACATTTTTTAAAATTCATTCATTTGTTGATGGATACTTAGATTGATTCCATATCTAGGCTATTATGAATAGTGTCTTAATAAACATGAGAGTATAGATTTCTATTTGACATTTCAACTTCTTTGGGTATATTTCCAGTAGTGGGATTGCTGGATCATATGGTAATTCTACTTTTAGTCTTATGAGGAGCCTCCATAATGTTTTCCGTAGTGGATATATTAATTTACATCTCCACTAATAGTGTGTTAGTGTTTGCTTTTCCCTACATTTTCTCCAGTTCTTGTTTTTCTGTTTGTTTTGATCTTTTTGAAAATAGACATTCTAATTGAGTAATTTCATGTTACTTTTTTGCTATTGAGTTGTTTGAGTTCCTTGAATATTCTTGTCAGATATACAGTTTGCAAATATTTTTCACGTTCTATAGGCTGTATCTTTGCTCTGTGAATTATTTCTTTTGCTGTGCAAAAAATTTTAGTTTGATGTAATTCCATTTATTTTTGCTTTTGCTACCCATGCTTTAGAAATATTATTTGAAAAAATCTGTGTCCAACCAATGTCATGAAGTATATTCCCTATATTTGTTTAGGCAATTTCATAGTTTTTGTTCTTATATGTAAGTATTTATTCCATTTTGAGTTAATTTTTTTAATATAATGAGATAAAGGGATCTAATTTCATTCTTCTATATCCAGTTTTACCAGAATCATTTATTGAATACACCATTCTTTATCCAATGTGCTTTCTTGGTGCCTTTATCAAAAGTCATTTGGTATAAATCCATGGTGGGTAGTCTCTAATCTGTTCCAGTAGTCTATATGTCACTTTTTATGCCAGTATTATGCTGTTCTGGTCTATTTTCTCAAGACTGGTTTGACTATTTGAGATATTTTAAGGTTCCATAATAATTTCAGG